ATATTTACTTCTTCATAAGACCGGAAGTGCTGGTCAGCCAGGCCGTGTGCCCTTGATCGAAACAAGTGATAGTCAGAGAGAACAACGTCTGGAAAATACGGCGGGTGGGGTAGGACTTCCCATTTCAACGTTTCCAAGTATGTCTTTATATGACCACTTTCGCAAATGGGGTCGAGCATTGTCATGCTGCAAAATCACATTATCGTGTCTCTCGTTGTATTGCGTTTGTCTTTCAAAGCTCGGCTCAAACGCATCAATTGCGTTCGATACCGATCGCCTGTGATTGTTTCAGTCAGTTTTAACAGTTTATAATACACTACGCCGAGCTGGTCCCACCAAATACAGAGCATGACCTTGGAGCCGTGAATATTCGGTATAGCCGTCGATGTGGAAGCATGGCTGGGAACTCTCCATGATTTTCTGCGCTTGGGGTTATCGTAATGAACCCATTTTTCGTCCCCAGTCACAATGTGATGTAGAAATCCCTTCCGTCTTTGCCTTTCAAGCAGCTATTCACAAGCAAACAAGCGCCGTTGAACATCTCTCGGCTTTAATTCGTACGGCACCTAATTTCCTTGCTTCTGAATCATTCCCATGGCTTTGAAGCGTTTTGAAATGGCTTGTTGAGTCACTCCCAATGATCGTGCCAATTCTTCTTGATTTTGACACGAGTTCAAGTAATGCTTCCAATTCTGCATCTTCGAAAACCTTCTCTCTTCCACCGCTATGCCGGTCTTCGACGTCAAAATCACCGTTCTTGAAGCGTTGAAACCCCCCACTCACGATACGTTCTTTCAGTAATAGCGGCCTCACCATAAGTATTTGAGAGCATTCGATGAGCCTCAGCCGCAGATTTCTTCATATTGAAGCAGAAAATTAAAACCTCCCGCAAATGACGAGAATTTGGTCGTAAACTGACATTTTCAATCGAGAATAACTTTATGATGCAGACACAAATCGACTAATGTTTCTATGGGGTTATGTTGACAGATGCCCAAATTCATTGTATGACATCTATGATCTATTTATTTCGACCACCACTTATCGCTAAAGCCATCTATAGGAAAACGGCGGAAGCAAAGTTGTACACTAATACATAACTTATCTACTCGATATATTGGGAGTGTGAATAAGTTTTAGCCGTTTTTTGTGAAAATAAATCCTTTATTTAAAAAAAAATAATGAAAAAACAAGTCAATTAATATATTGCCCATCGCTGGAGACTACTTTTTCCCATCTTTCTGGCAGCATTTGAATTCCACGTCGAAAAAACGACACTTCTTTTGCGGCTATCCACGTATTGATCCATTTTTTCGTTTCTTCATACGAAGTGAAGTGCTGCTCAGCCTGGCCGTTAGTCATCGATCGAAATAAATAGTAATCAGAAGACGCAATGTCTGGAGAGTACGGCGGGTGGGGTAGGACTTCCCATTTCAGCGTTTCCAGGTATGTTTTGACCGGTGACGCGACATGCGGCCGAGCGTTATCATGCAGCAAAATCACCTTATCGTGTCTTTGCTCATATTGCGGCCGTTTTTCTTTCAATGCTCGGCTCAAACGCATCAATTGTCGTCGATAGAGATCTCCTGTGATGGTTTGGTTGGGTTGGAGCAGCTCGTAATACACTACCCCCAGCTGATCCCACCAAATGCAGAGCATGAGCTTGGAACCGTGGATATTCCGCTTTGGCGTTGATGCTACTGCTTCGCCGGGTTTAACCCACGATTTTTTACGCTTGGGATTACTGTAGTATATCTATTTTTCATCACCAGTCACAATACGATGTAAGAAACCTTTCCTTTTTTGTCGTTGAAGCAGCTGTTCACACATGACAAGACGCCGTTCGACGTCTCTCAGCTTCAGTTCGTATGGCACCCAAGATCCTTCCTTTTGTATCATTCCTAATGCTATTAAACGTTTCGAAACTGTTGTTTGATCAACTCCTAATGATTTTGCAACATCGGATTGCGTCTGACATGGATCTTCAGCAAGTAATGTTTCCAATTCTTCGTCTTGAAACTTTTTTGGTGCACCACTGCGTTCTCTATCTTGAACATCAAAATCACCATTTTTAAATCGGTTAAACCAATCTCTGCATGTTCTTTCCGACAGAGCATGATCACTATAGGTTTCTACAACAATTCTGTGTGCTTCAGCTGCAGATTTCTTCTGAATAAAGTAGTGCAGTAAAATTCCCCGCAAAAACGGTTTATTTGGCACGAAATTTGACATGTTTTA